TACACCTTGTTATCTCAGATTCTCCAGCATCTGCAGTTCCTACTATCTCTGCCACGTGTAACTGACTGTTTATGAATAAAACAATCCTTTACCCTTCTCCAAAAAGCTAAACTTGCTAGGAGATTGGAGTATTTTAATACCTCGTCGTTTGTTTGTAAAGCCGTATGTGCAATGTATATCTATGCAATCAAAGCCAACCTTACCCTTGGAATACTGTTGTTGCACTGCCAGTGTAGATCCTGACAGGGGCAGTGTTGGACCATATCTTTTGGAATTCTGACTTATGAATTTGAATCCCAAACAAAGGATTTTCAAAGGAAATTGGTTTTGTCAAATTCCTCTTTGTTTTATCGACTTGGAAACATCAGCTAAGGTTTTCAGTAAATTTTCTTCATTAATAAAAGAAACATCAGCAATCACCAAGCTTTTCCTTCTCTGCTGTTTCAGTTTAGTGGGAACACAAAACACGAAGTTTTGGACTGTGGGATACTTTAGACTTGCTTAATTTAGGGAATTGATCAATATATAACTTCCCAGAAATGATTGCGTGAAATACCACCTTGGGGTCATATGCTCTGGAAAGACACTGGAATGTCACATTGTGAGGGGCAGTTCCCTGCTGGCAGCATCTGAAGTTGTGTGCACCTGGACTTTAAAATACTATCCCAGTGTCATAAAGACTAGAAAATCCTGACAGCAGTGAGTGCTTCTGCCTTTCCTGCCACTTGATTTCATAAGAAGCCACCATAGAGCCGAGCAGCATAGTTGATGAGCTGAAGAGCGAAGTAATACATGAGAAATGCCACTCTGATCCATGGCAAACTGGGTACCAAGAACGTCACTCAACAAAACACTGTTAAGATCCCATTTGATCATACTACCGGACAAGTCTAAACCTAGAATGATCTCTGGCTTGATAAGTGAAGCATTTTTATTTTCGTCGACATGGTGGTCATTCACTGAAAAGTAGTCACATGATCATACAGAGTTTCTTCAACACCAGAACAAAGGTTTATTAATCAAAATTCAAACACAAAGAAAACAAGCTGTTTAGCTGTGGAAGACAGTTTAGAAAATTTTTAAACAAGTATTTTAATCTATTTCCCAACACTGAGGCTTTCCAGAGATTCAAATCCAGAGGGGCCACCCCTACATGTAAAATATTTAAGTGGTTCCCGTCAGTTTCTGTGAACTGTGGAATGCCCACAAAACTGAAAATTTCCTTAAAAGCTAATAATTTCCATCCAAACCCTCCTAATCTCGTTTCACAAACTAAACATTTCTACTGAGATGACTGTGTCCTCCCTGAACTGCCCTTTCCTCCTTTCTAGGGGAAGAAATATCTTTGCTTCTGCTTCATGTTTTCTCTAAGCATCCCTAAAGTCTGTCATTCTATGCGTTTCCTAACTACTCTTAACTAAAAATAAGCTAATCGCTTTCAATATTTCCTCTACTTGCTATAAAATTACCAAAGTATAAACATATTGTACAATTAATATTTACAGCCACAAACCCTCTGACACATACTAGACTAGGTCATCTTTCCAGCTGGACTGTTTAACCTAGTTATAGAGTCATACAGTCATACAACATGGAAACGGACCCTTCAGCCCAAAGAGTTCATGCCGAACGTAATCCCAAACAAAACGAGTCCCACCTGCCTGTGCCTGGCCCATATCCATCCAAACCTTTCCTATTCATGTACTTATTCAAATGTCTTTTAAACATTGTAATTGTGCCCACATCCACCACTTTCTCAAGAAGTTCATTACGCATGTAAACCATCCCCTGTTTAAAAAAAATTGCCTCTCGTGTCTTTTCTTACATTACTCTCCTCTCACCTTAAAAATGTGCCCTCTCATCTTGAAATCCCCCATCTTAGGGAAAAGGCACCTACCATTAACCCTATCTGTGCCCTTCATAATTTTATAAACTTCTGTAAGGTCACCCCTCAACCTTCTATGCCCCAGTGAAAAAAGTCCCAGCGTATCTAGCCTTTCTTTATAACTCAAACATTCCATTCCTGGCAAGGACATGGTAAATCTCTTCTGAACCTTCTCCAGTTTAATAATATCCTCCCTACAACTGGGTGACCAGAACTGGACACAGTACTCCAGAAGAGGCCTCATCAATGTCTTGTATAATCTTAACATGGCTTCCCAACTCCTATACTCTCTTTTTAAAATCTTTCCAAAATTAACCAATATCTACATACCACTATTCTGAAAGTTTAATGTATTTTGTGTAAATATACCGTTCATCACACTGTATATAGAAAAACTCAGCCTAAAATCTTTGTCTTAGAATTCTAAGGATTTTTTTTCCTCTTTATTTCTTCACTTTAGGTGTTCAAATGTACTGCCCAATGGTACAGCAAAAGTGAAGTGTAATTTTGTTCCTTTTAAGACCGGGATGAAGAAGCTACTGGTGGACTTTGACTGCGACAAAATGCAAAATGTGAAAGGATCCTTAAACATATTTGTAGAAGAAAATTAGAGAAAAAGCTCAAATACCCAAATCTTTATTTTCTGAATGCGTGGACTATCATTAAGGGATGTGTTAGCTGGTTTATTTTCACACAATCATTAGACACTGCAGTCAGTTCACATGCTTAAATATTTTATTCCATTTCCAAGTTAACGTCATCTTTGACATTGCATGGTTTTGTTATAATGCTGTAGGATTGTTATGGATCGGGACAGTAGTTTTAAATTTGGAGAAAAATAAAGGGGTCATGTGACCTCTTCTGGAGTCTACCTGACAATAGCCATGAGTAACTTGATAAGAGTTCAAAGAAGGGGATTATTAATTGGGAAGAAGGTGCAAAATACTTAATTGGAGACAATCACAGTCCCTGAGTTCCACAGTGAAGAGAAATAGGATTTCTTAAAGTTGCAGAAAGTTATTAATGGTATTGAGTTATAAACAATGGTGCTATAATAGATCTTTCCATTTCCAAATTGGAAAGGAGCTGGAGATCAAAGATAGCTAATTAGTAATTCTGTCCAAATTCAAGTTCAGTGTGGTTCTGGTTGCCATAGAGAAGAGGGCAGAGGAATGCATTTTTGAGATCGGGTTACAGGCTTCTCTACAAACCAATGTATATCACAGAAAGGTAGCCTT